ATGTGATGTTACTTTTCTGCTTTTGCTTTACTCTTATTGTGTAACTGTTACGTGAAATTTATGCTTTCGCCCCTGTTTACTTACTAAGCATATAGCTTACCCCATTCCTTTTGTTTTCCTTAGCAGGGGCCGACGCGGGGACTTTTGGCTCGTATACTAGTATAGTTAGTTTGGCTTGTAATAGTTGAACAGTTAGGATGTTTGTTTTTGTTTTGGTGGTTTGACTCGATACTTTTGGAGAATGTAATTATAACTCTTTTGGGATTGTATATATTGTATTTAGTGCTCTTTCGAAATTTAAGTTTTGAGTCCTGGCGCGAGCTAGGCAGGCGGCCCGCCGATACCCTTGGTTCGCCCTTGGGAGAAGTGGGGTCGTCACATTTTGTTCCAAAAGGAAAGGAGACAAAAATGTATATTTTGAGCTCTTTACGAGTTTCTCTCTTCTTATTTGTATCATAATTGAACGAGAAATTTTGTTTCAAATAGTTTTTCAGCAATAAAATTTTTGGATAATCATTATTTTGTGTATATTTATGTACATTTTATTCTTTATTCTTACTCATTGGAGATTTCATGATGAATTTTGAGAAATAAAATCAAATTGAGATTTTTTCAACCTCCAGCCTGAAAATTCGCAAGTGTATGCTTTCTAACTCTTGTATACACTAGATTGGTGATCTGAGCTACACAATAAGAGTGCTCAAGATTGAAAGAGGTCGCTCAAAAGGCCTCATGAAATACCTTTTCTCTTTCACTGTACAATTCATATTTTTGCCCACTTCTATTGACCCCAAAATAAAATCAGTCACATTGATTGATAATTTGCAAACTGGGGCAACCTCTGCTTCGAAAAATGTCCGTTGCGTCTAATTATATCTAACTCACATCTAAGCGAAAGCAAAAATGTGCATTATTCTTGTTTGTTTTGAGAATTTGGAATGATACTTTGAGCATTCGTTTCTCTACCTATACACATTTTATCATTTGCTCTCCCATTTGAGCCTTTAAAAGAATAATTTCGTTTCAAATAAGAGCCCTAATGATCACTACCCTATATTGAAAAATTTTCAAATATCAAAAAGGGGAGTGGATTTTCAATGACCATTTCGTTACTTTGGTTGTCATGAGGTGTAAGAATGATACTTTGGCCGTCGTTTCTACAACCTAAACACTGATCATCCCTTGCATCCTCATTTGAGCTAAAAATTGGTGGTTCTTTTCGAGTGCACATATGATCGCACCCCACATTGGGGAAGGAGATTGGGGAATTTTGAAAAAGAAAAAAAGGGGAAAAGCAAAAATGCTAGAATAAGGAGGGAACTGCAAATTGGGGAAATTTGATTCCACTTGGGTTCCAATTTTTGAAAAGAAAAAAAAGAGAGAAAAGGAAGAGATCTGTCCGCACGGACCGCCTATGTTTCACAAATATGGATGAACAAGGGTCTTTCTCAGTCAGTTAATTCAGATACATGCAAAAAAAATTTTCGCATTAACGAAAGTTTCCTTTCAGAGTTATTGTAAGGGACGGAGCAAAAGTCAGGCCCTCTTCTTTTCCAATCAAGCATTCTATCCCTAGTTATCCCTTTTGAGCCTTCAGAATAAAATACTTCGTTTGGCAACCCCTGAGAATCGCAAACCCCACACTGGGGCAAGTTTGGGTTGAAAAAGAAAAAGTTTCAAGAAGTGAAAAGTGATAATGCAACAAAATCAAAAGCAAAAGAAGAAAAGAGAACCTCAGTTCAAAAATAAATTGGGACAAATTTTGTGAAAGTTCAAAAATGGCAGAAGACCGAAAAATCAAAAAAAAAGAAAGAAAATGAAAGAGAAAAAGCCTCAATTGAGCATAAACTGGGGCAAATTCTAATTTAACCCTAAAATAGGGTTGGCGTAACAATGCGATCTCAGATTCTTTAAACCACTCTTGAAATCTGCTTTCAAGCCTTAACTTTTCTAACTTTTCTAAACACCCCACCAGACCCCATTACAAAAGCCGAAAGTCCTGACTTCTGTTCTTTGCAATGGCGCTGTCAAGAAAATTTCTGATGCCGAAAAATTTTAGCTGTATTTCTGAATTACTTGGGTATGGGTTGACGCTGCTCACCATGTGAAAACCCACCAATCCCCAATTTCTTTACGACATTCTGACCTTCTGGGGCATCCGAATTACCCAATTCGTTCCCAATGCCATTCGGTCCATACTCGGCTTCTTCATTTTGGGCCGTGCTCTCGAAATTCCTTATTCTTTAGACCTGTTTAGGTCATTTTTTCAAATGAAGGTGAGCAGCCCGGTTCACGGTTGGTTCTACTTCGCTCGCAGGAGCGGAGGGGAGCTCCCCACCCGCGAGCTGTTCACGCAAATGCCTTCCTCCATCAAAGGCTGGAAGGCACAATTCTTTTTTGTGAAGAACACTGGGTTTCCTCCCCTGACCTGGAGGGAGGAGACCCAGGTTTCTGATCCAATTCCCTCACCTCTGCCTGAAGCCGAGCTGGACCGCCTGGTCAGCTCGGAAGCCCGACTGAAGGTAAAAGAGTTTAACAATGCACAGTTCTGGTCGGCGGGGCTGATTCGAGCAGAGGTGAATGACCCTGCCCCCGATCTCCGACCTCTCACCCCCGAGGAGCTGACAGCTTGTAACTTCTTGGCCTCATTTCCCATTTTTTCCTTTTTATGGGCCTGGTCATATCACCCCAACTAACCCCTTCTTCTTGCTCTGCAGTGAAGCGATTCTCCCAGCTACTGAACATTGGGGGATCTGGCAGTACTAGCACGCCTACTCCTGCTCTATCCACGGCTCCCAGCAGCGCGGCTCCTCCTCCTCTGCCAGTGCCCAATCCTCAGATCGCAGCTCAGTCGTCGCCTGGAGAGGAGCCAAAGAAGAAAAGGAAGAAGACGGCGGCCAAGAGGGCTAGGACCGAGGCGACTTTCCCCCAATCCCAGGAGGAACCCTCAACAGCTCTTGCGTCTCACTACGGAGTGAACTCCGCCGAGCAGCAGGCCTCGTCCGAGTCACCTCCAGCCATGTGGTGTATGAGGAACGTGATTCCTCTGAAACCTCCTACCGGCCAGAGCTCGTACCCGCACCCCCAGCATTTTTGCTCAAAGTGGGAGCTGTCGATGAATGACCGAGCTCAGTTTCCTGAAGCTGCCCGGGAGCTCGTCCAGGGCGCAGTGCTCCCACGCGATGACCACTTCATCCAGCTCGCCTCCAACTCCGAGCTGCTGGAGTATTTTTACCTCAGTACAGCCCAAGTGATTCCTTAACTTAGTGCCTCCCTGACATCCCCTTTAATTTGCTGGTTTCTTATCCTGTATTCGATCTGCAGCTCAATGTTGCTGGGGCCGAGCTGGCGCAACGGTACGAGAACATGGGGGTCAACCTATCTCAGGTCGATGCAATCAAGGAAAGGCTATCGAGCCAGCTCGAAGCCGCGGAGGCCGAGCTAGAGTCCCTGAAGAAACAACTTGCGGATGCCAAATCCTCCTGCGAGTTGGAAAAGAAGAAGGTAGCCGAGCTGGCTGTGACTCGGGAGGCCGAGCAGAAAAGGTCTACCGAGCTGATAGAAACGGCGAGGGCGGAAGGGCGTCAGCTAGGCGTTCAAGAGTTTAAGAAGTCTGAAAGCTTCATGAACGACCTGGCCATCCTAAATGGCCCCGTCCTGCAGCTCGGCTACACCAAAGCCATGGCGGATGTTCAGTCCTTGAACTTGCCGGATTTTGACTTGAGTAAATGGCCTGATTACAACTCCCAAGCCGCCCATCAAATTGACAGGCTTGTCACGGGCTACTCCAATGGGCGAGACCTGGCTGCCTTGGTCGCCGACCCTACTCTTCCTGCGACCTCTCCCGAGCTAGAGCAAGAACAGCAAGGGAAGAGCTAAACGGATAATACATAGGATAGGCCTATAGGAATTAGGCTAGGGTAGGGACCGAGTTGGCCAACTCGCTTTTGTATGGCCCCCCGCATGTATATGCCTTTTTGAAATGGAATAGATGGCCTTCTTTCTTATTCAACACTTGTAAAAATCTCTATTATTAAAAAGCTTTGAATACATTATAATCCCAAGTGCTGAACTAATAAAATGAAAAACAGACCTGTCCAACTGATCATTTTCAGCTCGGGCAGGATACTAAAGAAAAAGCCTTAAATTTGAGTTGTGCCAGGTGCGCGGGACTTCGCCTCTATCCAGGCGAGCTAGTTTACAATAACCTGCCCGGTCAGCTTCCCTTACCACGTAGGGACCTTCCCAGTTTGGGTCTAATTTACCTATGCCCAAAGCTCGGCTCACAGAGTTCTTGCGTAATACCAGGTCCCCTGGCTTGAAAGAAAGGTGCCTTACCCTGGCATTGTAGTAGCGTGCGACCTGGCCCTTATACTTAGCCATTCTTATAGCCGCCTCTTCCCTTCGATGCTTGAGCAGGTCCAAGTTAAGCCGCATCTCCTCCTCATTATCCTAAGCCACAAAGTGTTGCACCCTACCCGAGGGTACTTCAATTTCTGCTGGAATTACTACTTCGACCCCATATGTCAGGACGAACGAGGTCTCTTGGGTGGCCGTCCGAGGCGTTGTCCGGTAAGCCCATAGTATGGTAGGCAGCTCCTCCAGCCAATTAGTTCGGGCAGACCCTATTCTTGTCTCCAGGCCGTGCAGGATGGTTCTGTTAACATTCTCGACCTGCCCATTGGCTTGGGGGTGCCCCACTGAAGTGAAGTGCTGCTGGATGCCGAGCTCCGTGCACCATTCCTGGAGAGAGTGGTCAGCGAACTGCCTGCCGTTGTCCGAGACGAGAGCTCTTGGTATGCCAAATCGGCAGACTATGATTTTCCAAAGAAATTTCTGGATCGACCTGCTGCTAATTGTGTTGAGGGGTTCGGCCTGTACCCACTTGGTGAAATAATCAATGGCTACCACCAAGTGTTCGTAGCCACCTGGAGCTCGGGGAAATGGCCCCAACAGGTCAATCCCCCATTGGAAGAATGGCCACGGGTTACTGTGAGGAATCATTTCCTGAGTGGGGGTATGATGGATTGGGGCGTGTAGCTGGCAAGACTTACACCGACTACCAGCTCGGCCGAGTCCCTGAAGATGGTGGGCCAATAGTATCCAGCCAGCATTCCCTTCTTGGCCAATACTCTTGGGCCAACGTGATTGCCGCAGATGCCTTCATGCAACTCGCGCAAGACATAGCTCCCTTTCTCGGGCGTTACACACTTCAACCAGGGCTGCAAGTAAGATTTCCTGTATAGGACTCCATGCGTGAGCACGTACTTCTGCGACTTAAGGAGGACTTTGCGGGCCTCCACCCTGCTCGGTGGGAGCTCCCCATGAGCTAGGTACTGGACAATGGGATCCATCCACGAGCTCATCACCTGAATGACCGCGGCGTTGGATGGTTCATATGCCCGACTTCTGAGGACCTCCACCAGTATTTCCCGACCTAAGACACCAACCGAGGTAGAGGCCAATTTAGACAGGGCGTCAGCTCTCTTGTTCTGGCTTCGCGGAATCTGTTCAAGCGCGAACTGCTCGAACAGCCCTTCAGCTCACGCGTCTTGACCACGTACTTTCTTAACGTCCTCTCTTTGACCTCGTAGCTTCCCCATACCTGGTTCACTATCAGTTGCGAGTCGCTATAGACTTTTATCGATCTAGCCCCTAACTTTCGGGCCATCTCCATCCCTGCAATCAGAGCCTCGTACTCTGATTCATTGTTAAAAGCTCTAAATTTGAACCACAGTGCGTAGGGCAGCTCCTCCCCGGTAGGGCTGATTAGGAGGAGCCCGGCCCCACATCCTTCCTTACTTGACGCGCCGTCCACGTACAACGTCCAGGTGGGATCAGCTTGTCCCGTAGCCTCGGTAACCTTCCCGTCCTGGGCCGTCTCTCTGGCCAGTTCAGCTTTGACTGCTTTTCCAGAATGCTCGGCCTCGGCAGCGTTTAATGCCTGTCCCACCTCCGCTGCCTGTCCGACCTCGGCAGTTTCTTGGGTCTGTTTGGCCTTAGCTGCTTCTCTGGCCTGTTCGCCCTCGGCAGCTTCTTTGGCCTGCTCGGCCTCAGCTGCCTCTTTGGACGGTCCGACCTCCGCTACCTGGATGGCCTAGATGATCTCGGCAGCGTCTCCAGCCTGTAAGACTTCTACTGCTTCTCGGGCCTGGGTGGCCTTGGTAGTTTTTGGGGTCTGTAAGGTTTTGGCTGCTTATCCGGTGTGCGCATCTTTAACAACTTCTCCATCCTTCCTGGCCTGTATGTCCCTAGCCTGATCGACCTCCGCTTCGGGCGATCCAAAGGAAACGCCATCCGCTATGAAGTCCGCCAATACTTGGGCTTTGATGGCCGTCCGGGGCTGATATCCCAGGTCGTATTCTGACAATTCCACAGCCCACTTCACCATTCAACCTGAGGACTCGGGTTTGGAAAGGATCTGCTTCAGGGGTTGGTCCGTCATGACCACTACGGGGTGAGCTTGGAAGTACGTCCTGAGCTTCCGAGCTGCATGTACTAATGCCAAAACATATCGTTCTACCGCCGAGTACCTTGCCTCGGCCCCCTGTAGGGCGCGGCTGACATAATATACGGGTTTCTGCACTTTGTTTTTCTCTCGCACCAACACCGCTCTAATGGCCCCTTCTCCCACAGCTACGTAGATGAACAGGGTCTCCCCTAGCTCGGGAGAGGTCGGGGCTGGCAACCGAACGAGGTGGGCCTTTAGTTCATCGAACGCCTTCTGGCACTTCGGGCTCCACTCGAACTACCGACCTCCTTTCAGAGCCTTGAAGAAAGGCGACCCCCGAACTGCCGATTTGGACAGGAACCTGTTCAAGGCTGCCATCCTCCCTGTCAGACGTTGCACCTCCTTAATATTCCGGGGTGGAGCCATGTCCATGATGGCCTTGATCTTGTCCGGGTTAGCTCTCACCCCTTCTTTAGAAATCATGTAGCCCAGGAATTTTCCCGACTTGACCCCAAAAGTACACTTCTTTGGGTTTAGCCGCATTCGTGAGCTCCGAAGAACCTCAAAAATTTCTCTCAGGTCAGAAATGAACTGCTCTTGGGTTCGACTTTTCACTAACATATCGTTCACATAAACCTCCAGGTTTCGGCCGATCTGATTTTTGAACAACCTGTTTACCAACCTCTGATAGGTCGCGCCCGCATTCTTTAGCCCGAATGGCATGGTGACGTAACAATATGTGCCGTCCTCAGTGATAAACGAGGTCTTCTCCTGATCCTCCTTATCCAAAGCTATCTGATGGTACCCCTTGAAGGCGTCCAAGAAACAGAAAATCCATAGCCAGCTGTTGAGTCCACGAGCTGGTCAATCCGTGGAAGTGGGTAACAGTCCTTCGGGCAAGCCTTATTTAAGTCAGTGAAATCCACACACATCCTCCAAGCTCTCTCCTCCTTCTTGACCAGCACCGGATTGGCTAGCCAGGTCGGGTAGTAGACTTCCTTAACGATCTTAGCCTCCAGCAACTTACCCACCTCGCTTTTGACGACCTCTTTTCTCTCTGGAGCAAAGTTCCTCTTCTTCTGCTTCACAGGTCGGACGTTGGGATCCACATGTAACCTATGGACTGCCAGCTCGGTGGGGATTCCTGGCATGTCATCCGCACTCCAAGCAAAAATCTCAGCATATTCCTCCAAGAGAGATTCTAAAGAGCATCTGGTCAGCTCGTCTAGGCAAGTGCCGACCCTCACCGTGCGCTCAGGTCAGTCGGGGTGGACGGACAGTTCGGTCAGCCCCTCATCCGTCTCCAATCTTTCTCCTTTCTCCATGGGCTCCCAGGGCTCTAAACAAAATGTTTGAGCTACCAACTTCTCCTTGCCCTTGAGGGTGGCGATGTAACATGCCCTGACCACCTCCGGATCCCCGAGTACCTCAGCCACTCCAGCAGGAGTAGGAAACTTCATACTGAGGTGCAAGGTGTAGCAAACAGCTCGGAGGGCATTCAGTGTAGGCCGTCCCAGTATCATATTGTATGACGAGGGTTCCTAAACCACCGCGAAATTTATCGGAACAGTTCGACACTTCGGGGATACTCCTACCGTGACCATAAGAGTTATCATTCCCTATGGCCTCACGGGAGGGCCTGCAAATCCGATCAACGGAGTTTGGACCGGGACGAGCTGTCTATCCTCCAGCTACAGCTCCTTAAAAGTCTTGTAATATAGCACGACTATGGCACTTCCGTTGTCTATGTATACCTTCTTCACCTTGTAATTACAGGTGATGACTTCTATCACAATGGCTTCATGATTGTTGGAGGCCAGAGGGACTGCGTCTTCAGGTCTATAGATAATTTCCTCGTACATCTTCAACCGCTTGGTCGAGCTCTCCCCCGTGGGAGGGGGCCGATTGTGCCGCCGAACTGTATGACTATCCCCGCCAGCAGGTCCTCCGGCAATAGTGTTAATCACCCCCGCCAGATTCTGTGTTTCCTGCTCCGAAGCTCGGCCATGAGGCCCCTGAGGCCGGTCCCGGGGGTAGCTCGGGCGTTCTGACCTGGGCCTTCCTCGTTGCTGGTCAGCTCGTTCATCTCGTATGAACTGCCCAAGGTGGCCTAGTTTGATCAGTTTTTGAATGTCTTTCTTGAGGTGACGACAATCCTCCGTATCGTGCCCCACATCTCGATGATAAGCGCAATACAGACCTTGGTCCCGTCTGCTTTTGTCCCCGACCAAAGGTCGAGGAGGTCGGGAGAGCCCCTCCTGTTCCATCACTGCGAGCACCCGAGCTCGAGGTGTCGTGAGGCTAGTCCAGGACTTATCTCCTCCCACTGGGCGGCTCCTGGGGAGGCAGTCATAAGCGTTCTTCCTTCCCTGGCCAGGCCGTGCATCCACCTGGTCGGCGCCCCTTCTGCGCTTGTCATCACTCAATCTTTCTTGTGCACCCTTAAGGCGGTTGGCTTCCTCCGCGTTGGCCTTCTCATGAGTTCGGTCTAGCATTTCCCGAACTGACTTGGGAGGTCTCTCCACGAGCTCGGTGTAGAGCTTCTGTTTTCGCAACCCGTTAATGAAGGCAGCCATGACCAACTTGTCATCTCGATTTTGAACTTGAAGGGACTCGTTATTGAAACGCTCCATGTATTCGCGCAAGGACTCCTCAGGCCTTTGCTGGATAGTTATCAGATGCGCAGTGCTCTTGGAGAAGGCTCGTGACGAAACGAACTGGGCCGCAAACATTCGCGCGAGCTGGGCAAAGGACCGGATGGACCTGGGAGGAAGCCCCTGAACCACTGACGCGCCTTACCCTCCAAAAACATTGGGAAGGTCTTGCACCTGACCGCATCTGCAGCAGTTTGCAAGCGCATTTGGGTCATGAAGGCAAACAAGTGATCCTCCGGGTCCGTGGTCGCATCGTAAGACTTCATGCTTGGTATCTTGAACTTCGCTGGCAGTGGGTAGTCCTCGATGTCAGGGACGAAGGGGGAGGCGATATACCTGTCTGCCTCTGGGTCTAAAAGCAGGTCCAGCTCGTCCTGCACCTGGAGTTGCTCCTTCCGTGGTGAGAGTTCCTCCTTAGAACACCTCCGGAAGGGGTCCGGGTGCTCAGTTCTGGAGTGCCTGTGAGAAGGTTCTACAACGTCAACCTGGTCGCGCGTGAGCTCCCGGCGTACCCTTTTTGGTCAAGGGCTAGAGCTCCCCGTCCTAGATTCGGACGGCCCATCTCCCTAGCTCTTTGGGCCCTGGCCGGGATGACCTACTGCCTGCCCCTTGAGATAATTCACAATTGCCTCAAAAGTTGGCAGGTTTCCCGCCACCGCCTGGACCAACTGCTCCGGCAGAATTCGTGAAAGCCCCACACCCCCGTCTCCTGGAGTCGGTCCTCGTGAGGGGTGTTGGGGGCTGTTTCCCTCGTTCCCCTTGGATCCATCGGCATTCCTCTGAGACCACATTCTTGGCATGATTCGCAAGAGAAGAATTACGTGTTTCCCACAGACGGCGCCAATTGATGCGACAGCCAAAAACCAGATCCGAGCTGAACTGTTGCAAGCCGAGCTGGGTAGGTGCCGCCGACCTGAGAGGGTGAACCGAGCTGGTGATCCTGCAAGAAAGGATGCAGGCGGGACTGGTGTCCCCGGAATAGCTCCGACGGTCAAGTCAGTGAAGCTTGTGGACGGAGTAATAGTACAGAATATTTGTGTATGCGTACCTTGTGTAGTCTTGTAGCGTCGTATATATAGGACTGAATGGGTTGTAGTTTCCTTATAGGAGTCAAAATCCCCTTAGAGTTCGGAGTCTTCTTAGGGTTTTATGCGACGACCCCTAAATGTTCGGAGGCGGCGGCCCACCAGGCCCACCACCGGAGGCAACTGATAAGGCCGAACTGGCTCCCGCATGCCGAGCTGGCCCATGCCAGCTGCGAGGTGTCTATCGCCGACTTGGTGCGTGTAGTCTGCCTAGCTGACACGTGTCACACGTGGATTTGCCCCACTACAGCCTTCTTCATTGAGATATTTGCATATCAAGTCAGTGGTAGAAGCAAAATAGGATCCTGATGATAAGTCACAAATTTGTCATTTATTTTATAATTAATTTCTCCTATTATCTTACCAAATGTGAAATAATTGTCAGATTCTACTCACTTTTAAAAATTTACGATTATTGCAGGGAGTGGAACAAAATACCATAAAAAGGTGCCAATCTGACACTAACCAGCATAAGAGTTTGAGTAGCAGTCAACGAGATGGAGGCTGATTCCATTTTGTTTCCTTGTTGTGTGGAAGATATGCGGCAGCCAGGGGCAATTTTGGAAGACTGGGCCACCCTTCTTCTTGTTGGCGGTTTCCAAAAAGGAGGAAGTAAAAAGAGACGATGAGTCTTCCTTTTAGTCCTTACTAGTTTTTTCAGCCTCACGCGATGCGTGAGGATGTCCTGGGTCTGTGTTAAACAAGTTCAAATGAAGACAAGTGAAATAATATAAAATAGTTATCTATTAAATACATGATGGGTGCTAGTAACTATGGGGAATTTAACTTTAGGTAAATTGGTTATTGTCGTTATTCGTTTACTCAATTTATTTATGAAGTTGAAGAAATTTTTGTTACCTACTAGACTTGGACTACTAATTGACTTAATGTGAGATATCGATACGATATATTAGTATTTCATATCTGCAATAAATTATCAACGATCTAACAGTTGTCATGTGTGTAAGTGTGTATTTTTTCCTAATTGCACTGATAAATAAGACCTTGAAATTAGGTTGTCTAACATTCTTAATGTAGCATTAATTAGTAAGTAATGACTAAAATTAGGTAGAATTATAAGGCATGGTTATCTAACTTTTTTAATGTAGCCTTAATCACTAAATAATGCCTAAAATTATAAAATGGGTTTATCATTTTCTATTGTTTGTTATACTTGAATGAGCTTTCAAACATATTTAAAAATATGTTTAGACCAATGTAAAATTAAATTAATTTTTTTGTATATTCAATGGCTTTTTTCTTTTACATTAATAGGTCTGGATGCATGACATATAATTTTTATTCAACTCTATCCCACCATGAGCTCGGTTTATATATACTATCATTTCTCCTAATCAAGATTTCATATTGGATACTTTTTTTTTGTTGCAATTTAGATGATTGTTTGATTGATAGATTAAAAGTGTTCAAGAATGAAGGGAGCAACAATGGTTTCTTTGGACAAGACATCATCTATTGAAAATGAGTCTCGGATTCTCAATATTGAACGACTTCAACTTGTAGGGGTAAATATACATATTTTCTTATTTTTCTTTCTTTCTTCCCTTTTTTTGGTTGTCTATTCTTTGTTTATTTTTGGAGATTTTGATGATTTTGGTTTTGATAATTTGTATAGGAGGCAGCACTTTATGTGGTGAGTACGAGAAGTATGGAAGAAGCTCTTTGAATTTTCACTAACATAATGGCTTAGATATATACAATATCCAACGATTTCTTGAGTTAAAAATTTTTCCTTTCTATTTTCTAGGTTCTTTGGATCTATAATTCTTACTCATTTGATGATTCTTTCGGTAACTTGGTTGATGATTTTTTTTGTTGTAATCTGTATCATAAGCTGCAAAATTATAGGCTATTTTGTATT